AGTATACCTCGTTCGAATCAATGTTTGATACTGAAATTGATTTTCTGAAAATTAGGCGTGTTTTCAAAATGAACCAACTTTCCAGTTTTCTTCAGTGATTTATGGATGATCCCTTTTTCGAAATTGTCCGTTGGAAAAGGATGTTTCGACTTTTTTACGAGAAAACATGAAGATCTCGATCGAATAACGAAAACCGTAAGTCTCTACACAGTTTCCTTCAAAAACTATTTAACCAATAATTATAAATCTTTCTTTTTTTAACATATAATAGTTTCAAACAAATGTTGTGATTATCCAAAGTGATTTGACCCTTTGACTACCACAGTATAAAAAAAGCTACACCTGTTTTTTTCATATTTCTCATGATGTAATTCATAAAAATTAGTACGTAATCTATTGAAAAGGAGTACTACTACTACTATTCGATAGTCAAAGGGTTAAATTAACTTAAATTTATTAGCATTTAACATTTATAATCAAGATTTATTTCCAAAGATAATAAAGCATGAACCACCGTTATCATTATGCAAATAAACAATGTTCCGTTAGATTGATGCCATCTTTTCGAATAAAAACGAAACGTGTCTCACAGAAAATATCTATTGAAATGATGGTTGATGCCTTATTATCTATTCTAAAACTTTCATCTTCTAAAGTAATTGAACTTATATCCATATTTGAATATACCGATCAGTGTCAGCAGCAAATTGAACGTAGAAACAATCGTAATGGGCGTCAAGTTCTTTGCGAATACCTTCGATATTACCACAATGTGTCTCACAACGAAACGGCAACGAAAAATAAACACAATGTTTTATGGATATGAGCAGATCGACAATATCATTGGTTGTGAAGGAATTTATTCGAAAACTTTCAGTTTCAGTTGCGAACCGACGAATGTTCGGAAAATACTTGACAATATTCTCCACCTGCTTAATATTAAAATCGCCAAGATTAAGTTCAACGATGTTTTTAAACTGTACATGAAACCTAACATCATTAAAATTGTTAGTTATTAACAAAATCGAGTTGTAATTCATGAACAGTTTCTTCAGGTTCGGACACGATAACAATAATTTTTTTCGAAATATCATCCACTGATCATCTGCCCGCCTGGCGCTCATGCTGAAACCAAGAGTGTGGATAATTTCAAATCTAAACTGATGATCCATGTTCATCAGCCACTGCATTGACTCGTCAGAATCATCTTCAAGGTCACTTATGTCGAGCACTGTGATATTTTTTAACGTGCTGTTCAAAAGGTTAAACAATGATAACGATAGTGGAGCAAACATTGTGCACCGTTTCAAACTTTTGTAGTGTTCAGATGTCACTGTTTGCTCAATGTTGAGCTGACGATCACCTCTTTGATATCCCTTGAATTGATTCTGAAAAAAATGGCAATGAAGTCACATAAACTAAATTATCTTGCTCATTGAAATGACATGCGATTAACCACTTTTTCCAGAATAAACTTTGAAATGTTGATAAGATTTTAGTTACAGACAATTCTTTCTCATTATCTATAATAAACAGGGCATAATTCAATTGATTTAGTTCGATGAGATGGGTTAGAACACTACGTTCCAGATACTGCCCATGCATTAACGGTGTTTTATTGTTAAGTAAAAGTCGAATTGTTAGTTGTTTTAAAGTAGCTGGTAAATGTCGCAGTAGACTAATAATAAACGAATAATTCTCGAAGTCATCACTAGTTGCTTTAAACGAAAAATCGATTAGATGACGAATTTTCTTCGAAAGATTTTTGAATCAACCGCGTTTAATGTTGTCCTCTCGATAGTGTTTACCAGCAAACGTGACATGCATGATCCGAATTCGTGGTAAATTATCCAATAATGTGATCAATTCTGGAAATGTATTTAGTGTAATAATCAATTTTGTTATTTTACACGGTCGAATATGTTGTTTATATAAATCCAGTTGATATCCAGCGTGTTTAATCGGCTGTGAGCAGAGAACAAATATATGCATAAATTTATTTTGTGAGCATCGCCAGACGAAGGCGGAGTGATATCAAGTTTCAGTTCGTACAACTGGCAAAGTTTATCTAAATGAGGTTCAATATCCGTCAAATGATCGTGAAGCAATTCCAATGTTTGTAAATTCGTGCACGACAGAAGGACATCCAGCTGTGGATAACAAGGATACTTTCCGAGTTGCAGTCGTCTCACCCAATATCCAATGTTTGGCAACGTAATCTCTTTGAAACTCTTGAATGTTTTGAATCATACATTGCTTAGATCAAGAAAGGTGAAATAGTATTCGAGCAACGAATCAAAACGCTTATTCAAACAGAAAAAACACAAAAATATGTCAGATGAATCCAAATAACGAAATATATTAAGAATAATTTCATTCGGACAGCTTGGCTCCAGTCTAGACGCCATTGTATCGGTGACAAGAAATAAAGTTTTGAGCTTCTAACATTTATTTTGCATGATTCATTTATTGGGTTTTGTACCACATGTACGAAATAAAGAAAAGAAACAAGATAAAAAGGCACACGTCATTTTTTTCAAATTCTATTTTTCTATCGTTCTTTTCATTCATGTGCTCATGATTTTTTATTATTGCATTAGAATGTTATATACGAATTCTTCACAGAATGTAAACCGGAAGACAGCAAGACAGAACTTTGTAGACTAATAGAACATCCAGCCATACAAAATTATACTCAGAACGTTGAAGACTATACTAAGAAAATTTTTTCCCGAAAATGTTGACTATTTTTGTTAGTACGTTCTTACCTTAGGCATCTGACGTGCAGTGCGTTTCTATCTTTTCGGATACGGCAACGTACAGATACAGTTGGTGCGTGAAGAACGTGCCAGAAATGCAAGAGAACGTTGTTTTACTTAAATTATGAGATTCGCCGCCGATAAGCAATTTTTAGACGACGCCACCGGAGGCGGAGAAAATTTTCATAGCCTTGTGCCGTCGCCGCCTATGATAAAAATTTCATTCGCCGCCGCCGAAAATTGTTTATCAGCGCACATGTTGTAATTTATAACACTCCCACCCGCCTCCAATAGAATGCCACCCTATATCAGCTACATCCGAAGGTCACCCATTTTAGAAGGCCACCCCCAGATCAATGTTTCACGAGACATAACAGAAGACCGCTGACGTCCTAGGCCAAACTACAACAAAGATCAGACATTTTAAATTTAAACAGAAGTCAACTATTCACTCCCAACGAATCCTCTTTATATCAAAAAATTTCCTTTTCACGTGTGAACCATTTTTAACGAATTTTATAACATGTAGCATGAGTAAGCTCGCACACATTAATTGTCTTCAAACAAAATTCTAACGCGTTTATATGGATTTTGTATTTGTACGCATTTACATGTAATTTTCTATACCGAAAGTAGACGAAAAAACTTTTCATCTAATAATAAATCATTAATGCGTTAAAACGACTTAAATTGGATAATTTAACGCATTTTAGTCTCATATTGAATTATTTTAAGACATCCCATTTTAAAAAATCCCGAATTTTTTTTCATCACATGTATTTTACACACTTACGCCGTACGTTCTAGACAGTCACTGGGAACTTGGCGTTCACTTTATATGTGCCATTTACATACTTCATTTTTTACAATGTAGGCATTATTTTTAACTGCTGTGATCTTATGAGTTAGCTCGTAAAACCTGTTCATGTATTAAATTTACGAAAAACAATTCGAAGCATTAAACAATTTCACGAATTTGAATATATTAACTCTTAAGGCGTGTGAATGTATGAGATTAATCGGAATACATTTGATGCCATTAAATGGACAAAAAATTTCTTTTACCTATTCGAATGTGTGAAAAAAATTAAAACGCTTAAATGTGCTAGTTAATAAGACATTTGTAGATGTTGAATTTGTGAAAATGTATTGGAGAAATTAAAAATACTAAGGCTCCTAAATGCATTAACTTTTAAGACATGCAAAGACGTTAAAAGTTTTTTTATTCATTAAATATGTTCAAACATATTAAAGGTACTAAATGTAAATTTTTACGCATTCAGAGAAATTTTAGAATGAAAAAAATTCATTGGGCTACCTCTTGTTCTAGCTCTAACTGTCTCAAAAAGCCCTTCATTAATAGCGTCTTTTTTTGAGGTTTTTTTTATGTATGCTGTTCATATGGACGTTATTTCAGTATGCGTTTTCGCTAACGCATTTTAGTGAACGGAAAGCTGGACGTTTTTTTTGCCATGTGCTCAAGACGTGAAAAACGCTAAGAAGCATATTTGAAGATATGGTTTTTTGTTGTAGTACAACGCATCTAACTTCATTAAAAATTAGTTCCTCAAATAGAGTTTGAAAAGACACGTTGACCAAATACTTCATTGAATCAATTTTAGTTAGTTTTCCGTGGCAAAGACAACTTACGGAAAAAGTCTACGTTTCGCACAAACGCCAGCTTTTTTCATATCTTCTCCTTCTCACTTTGGAATTTACCTTGACTGAATATTTTATGATCCTAAGTACAAAGGTTAGCTTCAACAAATGTTTTGTTCAAAATACTGAAAAAGTATAATTTCTGCTAGGCAAATGAGATCCTTCCATGCCTCGCACGATTAGAGTGCCAGTATCTTTTTCGTCACTAGAAGCGCGAGTTCTATGTACTCAGCGAATTTTGAACAGTTCTAACTGACTCTCCTAGACTTTGGGAAATTTTCAGTGGTGGTACGTGTTGCAGATACTAATATTGTGAAAAAAATGAGTGTATTTTCATTTACTGCAGGAACGCCAGAACAAATAAGGTCGTCTTAAATTTAAAGCCCCGAAGCGATCGTTCTGGTATTTAGCTGATAAGCTGCGTAACAAACGTAACTTATAATTCAGATGTGTATTTTGCGCTCTGTCATTTAACAATAGTGTCCCTGAATTGCAACAAATGAAAAAGTGTCTACATGGAATATAAGAGTTTTGTGTGTATTGCACTTGAAGGGGCTCATTGATAATTTATGAGACGATGCATCACACAGATGACGGATTATCACGGAGAAAATTGACTTGCGAATTATCAGTAATGAGCTTTCTCATCGAAGTCACAAGTTTAGCATAATGATAGTCTTCAAATCTGACGCCAAATTGTGATTTTATAGAAGCACATAAATTTTCATATTTTAATTTTTTATTTTCTGCGTCTAATATATTATCATTAAACGCCGTAGCATATTCATATAACTCTGCACCATCCTCAAAAGAGTACAATGAATAGAGCTGCGGTAATAAATGGCGTTCGTTAAACCAGGCATCAATATCTTGTTTCGTCCAATTTTGTACCGGTTTATTCATGAGAGATGTAGTAGATTGTTGTTCCTTTTGTTCACTTGGTTGTTGAACATTTGGAGATTGAGATGTAACTTCATGCTGAATAATTTGAGGGACTAACGCAATCAGACTCTCATTTGATTTTGGGATGTAGTTTAAGAGCCGTGATACAGCATCATCAAATAGTTTCTTTCCAAATCGAATGTAAGTGCCGGTGAGCCGTATATCTAACCATTCCTCAGCTTCGTAATCATCATCAACGTAAATGGCAATTATCTGTTTTTGTCTTTTATCTGCATACGTCGCTTCTTTTCGACACGATTTACTGTGACAGTAGGCTTCTGAAACAATGATAAGTACAACGCTGGCATTTTTGATTGCTTTACCTATTTCTTCCCACAAGTCAACTGACAAACAGTGACCATCTTCGTCTACCCAAACATCGATCGATTTATCTTTTAGACTTTTCGTAAGACGACGACAAAATTCTTTATCTTTATGGCAATAGGAGATCATCGGTATTTGTTTCGTAGCAGTAGACGCAACATCTTTGTAGAGATCAAGGTTGATTAGGATACATTGGGCCGAGTCTTTCACTGCTGATAAATGCTGTAAAAGATATGTATGAATCAGTGGATCATCCGTAGAATGAGATGCTTCTTCGACTGCGTGTATGAACTCTTCATTTGATTTGATTTCTTTCTGATGTGCCTTCTGAAAACTAAAACTACTGAATATATTGAATAGTGTTATACGAACCAAATGTTTGAGATATAAATCGTCTGGTGTCAGTTTATGACATCTAAAAAATAATTCATTAAAAAACGTTAGAGCATTCGGGTATTGAGCAACTTTCGATTTTTCTAAAATATATATTGCAACGGTGTCATTGACAACAAATTTTGCTAAAACAACTAAATATTCAGATATGTTTGCCGTATTTGTGCGCATGTTCGATGATTTATGTGCTTCCCATATTTTATTGAGCAAATAGTCAATTATTGTTCCAGTGATCATGTCTTGTTTCAGTTCTTTTGATTGTTTAAGTGGAACAAGTAGAGCATAGCACATATAGTAAATAGGTAAAATTGGATGATCGTTATTGTAGCTTTTTGCTGTATTTTCAAACGTTTTTAATGTTTCAAGCATATGCCGATCGTTTAACGCTTGTGCTCCTTGTTCATGCCGGGCTATGTTATTTATAATAATCATCGTACTTTCAACGATATCTACCGGTATATTATGTTTGACTATAAAAGATAACCATTTCTCTAAATATTTTGGATATTCCGTTTCGAGCAAAACAGGAACGAAATGTGTGAAGTCTGATAATGCCATGATGAAATTGAACGTACTCCCAAAGACTGTATCTGAATTAAGGTCAGTCGTATTTACTTGTGTAATCATGTCCGATAGGTAATTATCCAAAAACAATGCAAACGATTTTAACAGCAGCAAATGTTTATCGTCAAATGTGAATTTGTGACTATTCCATGCCGCAACAGAATAGGATTCAGCTTCGAATATTCTAAAACGAGTGACTTTTTTTACTATAATAAGATATATGTCAGTATAGATGGAAAATATCCATCGAAAATTTATAACATCTTTTCCTGACAAATACGATAAATTTTCTTCTGTACAAAGACAATCCATAGCAACGGAATAATATTGATCTCGTTTAGATGCATTTAGTTCACAAGCGTTGAACAAGCTGTTACAAATTTTGTTGTATAAGGACGACAATAATACGGTGAATGTAGGAAATTGAACAAAATATGGCGAAAAGCAGGCGGCAATTTTGCTTAACTCGAAGAAATGGGTTTCCAGATTGTCTGAATTTATACTTGTTGTCGTGTTTAACACATCGGTGATATTAGCAATTAAAGAAGACAGTTCGACATTATCTCCATTACTTGAACTTAAAAGATACAATTTAATTAAATTCTCCAATTTGTTGAACAATGTGGAAAGTTCAACAGTGTCTCGTATGCCGTTACTGCCAATTACTGGCGTATCTTCTGCAGACATCGATAGTCTACAATTGAAATCAAACACATCACCTGCGTTGTGGATAACACTTGATACAGAAAGAATGATGTAGTTTTTATTTTCAGTTTTTCTCCCTTTGAACTCAAAGAGGGCATTTTTTTACCAAAAGATTCCCCATTCATTTCTCTACAAAATGGTGCATAGGCAATGATCCTACGATGACGCTGTCTTACTTGAGCAAGAACCGAATTACCCTAAAACTTAAACTCGAAAAAGTGTATTTCATCAGTTTGAAGTTGAACGGATGCGTTGTGTCTAGAACAAGTAGACCACACCGTCTCGCTTCAGAGAGACTTCGCCAATCGTCGCGAATCGTCTCTTAAAATTCTCTACCGATTATATGTAATGCGAATTTTCTATAGTTACTTCTGTGTTTTCAGTAATGTGTTTTACGAAGGTCCTATGACCGTTTTTCCAGCTTTTTCACCCTGCATTTTAGGACTATTTGTAAAGTGAACGTTGCTCAGCCAAAACGAACCAATCAGACCTATTGCGTCATGTTGATGACAAACGTTTGGCCTACTCCACACGCGTGAAACGTGTGATGTAATCTTGCGGAAAATAATCGAGATGCTGAAAGCAGCACATTTTGTACAATAATGACTGGCAATTATTAACTAGTCATTTTTACCACATCAAACCGATGAGGACGAAATGAGTCTTGCGCTATTTGGAAGAGGATATCTAATCGTACTATGAATGGCCTGTGATATTCTTCCTATCATTTTGAAAATGGAGTTCAAAACTCAAAATTGTTGTCCGAAAATATTTAAAGTTGTTAAAGTTTTTGGGACATTTCGATTTCGTTCAATTGAGACAGCGTCTCAAATCCTACGATCATCGTCTGTTACCATTTTGTAGAGAAATGAATGGGGAATCTTTTGATAAAAAATGAGCTCTGTGAGTTCAAAGGAAGAGACGAAACACTGAAAATAAAAACTGCATCAATCTTTCCATAACACCCATACCTTTCTTTCTAATTCACAACAAAGTTTTGAAAGTCAAATCATTTTGGACCACATCTCGGATGATGTGGATGTTGATTCGTTTGTGAATTATTCTGTTTAGTTTATTACGCCAGTTGGTAGAACATATATGACGTAGACATACTAAACTCTTCACAAATCGATGTATCTATCTGTATCGTTGTTCCACCTATTATAGTTATAAGAAATCCTAGTTGAAAAACCATTGATTGTTTTTCCAGTTAGACACTCTTTCGGATAACTCGGCAAAAATGTTCTATTTCTTCCTTGAAGAACACTTCTTTCTTATAACTGTGACGTAGAAAACTTTAACATTATATCATGAGATATGACATTGTTTCATTCCACATTTATTTTGCACAGGATGATAATAATGTTTTATGTTGTTTTTCGCTCTAAAA